CTGCATTTGTTGTTGTTGTTGTTAAGTGCCGTTGAGTTGATTCCAAGTCATAGTGATCCTGTGTAGGGTTTCCAAGGAGTGGCTGGTGACTTTGAATCACCAATCTTGTGATTCAAGCCAACCTTGCGGTTGAATGCTTCTCCTACAGCACCACACTAGGACTCTGGCTCTGGAGTTGGTCATTTGTTTATAGCCATCCTCTCTTCTTTTTTGTGTGTGAGCTAAAATTGTGTATTGCCTTCAGGACATTGTGGTGGTGTTGTATTTGTATTTAATTGATGATTGTATGTTGATAAGTTCTTAGTCTCTCACCAACTGTCTCCTGTGGGTGTAGTTAGAGAATGGAAACCTGTGCACCTCAATCTAGGGTGTTGACTGTTGTCCATCGTTGATCAGATGGTGTAGGAGCTGGTATTGGTTTTTGCCCAATGGGTGGAGCTGCAGAGGGCACTATTGTGGCTGGGCTGTATGGGCTTGACTGCTGTCTCCTTTCCTGTTGCTGGTGTGAATCTGCTCATCCAGGCCTCCTTCTGTGGTCAAAGCTACCCACAAAAGTTCAAATGTTTGTGCTATGTCTTTGTTCCCCAGTCACTTTCTCTCTTTCACCAGCCCTGCTTAGCCTCTCTTTCCAGTAAGCACTCAGTTCACGTCTCTAACCTCTCCTCTGAGGTTCAGGGTTCCAGGACTTTCATCGGTGTCTGTTTGATTCATTCTTTTCTTTGTTGTAGAGGATCTGTGTGGTTCATCTGCCTAATCTGCCATCTTGCTGGAAGTCCAATTTATCCTCTTCTTGAATGATAGGTGAACTGGGAATATAATTCTAAACTCAGGATTTTGTCCTTGCCATCTAAAGACATTATTCCATGCATTCCAGTTCATAAACTTACAATAAGTAAAATATTTTATAAAAATACAAGGATACAGTATCCAGAGGAAGATAATTTCATCTTCAATTATTTACTAAATGACAATTTTTACTAAAATCAATGAGAAAAACTTATCCAATAAATGGCAATGAGGAAATTCTGTATCTCTTTGGAAAAACAAAACATAGACTACTAATATCATGGAATAGCACCCACCAGATGCTCCTTGGATACCCTGTACATGGTCTTTATGCTGTTGTTGTTGTTAAGTGTTGCCAAGTCGGTTCCAACTCACAGTGATTCTGTATCGGGTTTCTGGGGCTTTTAAAATATTTACAGGAGCAGAAAGTCTCATCTTTCTCCTGCGGAGTGGCTGGTGGCTTCGAACCAATGATCTTGTGGTTCACAGTCCAGTGCTTAACCTATGGAGTCACCGTATTCTATATACACATACACTTTTATATATAATAATATTTATTGTTGTTAAGTACCTTTGAGTTGGTTCCGACTAATAACAATCCTATATAGGGTTTCCAAGGAGCAGCTGGTGGGTTTGAACTGTTGGCTGTGGCTGTTTGGTTTTAATTGGAAACTGTCTCTTTAAATTCCGAGGAGATCTGTGCGCATGCGTAGTAGAACCCTCCGAGGGTGTGGCTGGGGTGCCCACTAGTTCAGGCACCCCTATAGTCACCAGAATGGAGGTGTGCAGACAGCAAGGGACCAATGAACAGATACCAAAAGAAAAGAATGTCCACACCTTTATCTCAGCGGTTCTGCCAGGCGACTGTGGCCGCTCCAATTCTTTCCCCGCTTGGTCTCACCCAAGTTGGCGAGTCCTGGAGCAGCCGAGCGTCCTGGACTAGAAAGCGATGAATTTCTTTCTTCTGGCACAAATTCCCCCAGCTGTGAGCCTTCCAACCTTCTAAGTATTCCTTTATATGTGGTTCAGAGTTCTGGGACCATCCCTGAACCTGCTTGGTCGGATATTCTGTGTTGTTGTTGGCGGAGCTCTCTGCTATACGTCCCCTGTCAATGTGTTTTTGCTACCACTGCATCAGTTTATCTCATTGAAGGTCTTCATTTCTGCTGACCTTCTACTTGACCAGGGATGATGTCCTTCTCCAGGGACTGGTCTCTTCTGGTAACATGTTCAAAATACCTGAGACAAAGTATCACCATTTTCATTTCTAAGGAGCATTCTGATTGTGCTTCTTCCAAGACAGATTTGGTCATTCTTCTGACAGTTCCTGGCATATTCAATATTCTTTGCCAGTACCATAATTCAAAGACATCAATTCTTCTTTAGTTTTTGTATTCATTATCCAATTTTCACATGCATTGGTTGTTTGGTGGCTCTATGGACTAAGCACTGGACTGCAAAGTACAAGCTGCTCAGTGGGAGAAAGATGAGGTTTTCTGCTCCCACAAAGATTTACAGCCTCGGAAACCTTATACAGGGTCACTATGAGTTGGAACCGACTTGATGGTACTTAACAACACAACAATGAGGCAACTGAAAATATCATGGCTTTGGTGAGACACACATTCATCCTCAAAGTGACATCTTTGATTTTTAACACTTTAAGGAAGTTTTTGCAGCAGTTTGATTTCTTGACTGTTGCTTCCGTGGTCGCTGATTATGGATTCATGTACAATGAAATAATTGACAACTTCAATCTGTTTTTCCACTTATCCTGTTACGTATTAGTCCAGTTGTAAAGATTTTCGTTTAAGTCGAGGTATAATCTATACTGAAGGTTATAGTCTTTGCTCCTTTATAATTAAGTGTTTCAAGTCTTCTTCAATTTCAGTAAGCAAGGTTGTACCATCTGCATATCATAGATGTTAATGAGTATTCCTCCACTTCTGATGCTGTATTCTTCTTCATATAACCCAGCTTCCAGGTTATTTGCTCATTATACAGACTGGATAAGTATGATGAAAGGATACAACACTGATGCACACTTTTCCTGATTTTGAACCACACAGTATCCCCTTGTTCTGTTCAAATGGCTACCTCTTAGTAGGTTCCTCATGAGCATACATAAGTGTTCTGAGATTCCCATTCTTCATAATGTTATCCATAATTTGTCAGGATCTCACATTATTATTCCTTTGCATTGTAAATAAAACAGAGGTAAAAATCTTTTTAGCATTCATGACTTTCAGCCAAGATACATCTGACTTTAGCAATGATATTCCATGTTCAGTGCCCTCTTCTGAATCCAGCTTGAATTTCTGGCAGTTCCTGGTTTAAAAAATGCTATAATTGTTTTTTTAGCTATCTTCAGCAAAATTTTACTTCTGTGTAATATTAATGATAAGGAGCTCTGGTAGCGTAGTGGTTACGAATCAGGCTGCGAGGCACAAGGTCAGCAATTCAAAACTACCAGCGTTTCCGCGGGAGAAAGATGAGGCAGTCTGCTCCCGTAAAGATTTACAGCCTTGGAAACCCTGTGTAGGGTCGCTATGAGTCGGAACCGACTCCACGGCACATAACAACAACAATATTAATGATACTAGATAATTTCCACATTCTGTTGGATCATCTTTCTTTGCGATGGGCATGAATATGGTTCTCTTCCAGTCAGTTGGCCAAATTTCTTGGCGCAGACAAGTGAACACTTTAGCATTG